GCAATGCGACAACACTGTATGTGTCATCTGTCAATCAAGAATTTGTGTGTTATGTCAATCGATACTTATTTAATTTTAATGTTTTTATTAATACACTTCCCCAATAAATTAACGCACCATCGAAAAATAACAAAAAGTTTAAAGTAAATATTTGTCAAAACCACTTGTCTGTTTTGGACGATTTTTTTTTTAAATGACAGGTTGCCTCTTCCACATCGTCGGTTTGCTAACTGTGTTTGCATAAAATCCTCTTTTTTATTAATACAGGGTGTAGCAATTATACCGTGATTTTTTCATAAAAGTTGTAACACCCTGTAGAGCGCAATAGTTACATTACCAAGTTCGCATTGATATCACAATTTAGCCTTATCTTCTCTTAACAATTTCATTTTTTATTTACTCCATTATGTTTCCTATTACACGAGAAACTCAATTTTATAACTTAACATGACTTTATTCATTTGCATTAGCATTATAAGCACTAAAGTAAGTAGCATGCTATGGAAAAACCAGTAATTGTCAAATACAGATGGGTATTGTCAGAATTTAGTCCATTCGCCATTTTTTGCAAAAAAAATTATTAAACAATATGCCACGAAGTCTTACTCGCGAAGAATGTGCTCAAGTTTTAATATTGTTTGAAGAGGGTTGGAGTTACCGAAGAATTGGTGAACGATTTGACGTAACCCACACAACCGTTTCACGAGTTATACAAAGATATAGAGAGACTGGAAATCATGGTCGTAGGCCGGGACAAGGAAGAAACCGAGTAACTACTCCGATTCAGGATCGATTTTTAAGACTGTCAGCCTTAAGACAACGTTTTGTAACAGCTCGGACCCTTCAAACCCAGCTTCGGGATACTAATGGTTTAGAAGTTTGTACAGAAACTGTTCGTCAGCGACTAAGGGAACATAATTTGAGGCCTAGAATAGCTGCTCGAGGTCCAGTTCTAACTAGAGTTCATCGCAGAGCAAGGCTAAATTTTGCCAGAGAGCATCGTAACTGGTTAGAAGCTGAATGGCAACAGGTATTATTTACTAATGAGTCTCGATTTTGTCTGTATAACAATGATAGGCGTATGCGCGTATACCGACGCCCTAATGAACGGTATGCTCAGTGTAATTTCTCACATACAACATTATTTGGAGGAGGATCTCTGATGGTCTGGGGAGGCATTTCTTTGACTGGTCGCACAGAACTTGTAATCTTAAATGGAAGCCTTACAGCTGACAGGTACATATTGGAGATTTTAGACGAACATGTAGTTCCATTTGCACCATATATAGGGCAGGGATTTTTGTTGATGCAAGATAATGCCAGGCCTCATGTTGCTCGAGTTGTGAGAAATTATCTAGAGGAAGTTGGTATCGCTACCATGGCATGGCCAGCTCGGAGCCCGGATTTAAATCCGATAGAAAATCTCTGGGATACTCTTGGGAGGAGATTACAAGAGGAACGTAATCTGAACTATCTGGAAGATATACGGCAGAGACTGATTCAAATATGGGAAGAATTGGACCAAAATGACATAAGGTCTCTTATTTTAAGTATGGGCCACCGTTGTCAAGAAGTTATTCGTGCCAGAGGCGGAAATACTCGCTACTGAAACTTATTTCGTTACATTTTGTTTCGTGTTTTCATTGTTAAATATTGATATTAATTTTTAATAAAATAATGTTTCTCAAATAATGACAAAGATAATGGAGTAAATAAGAAAAGAAATTGTTAAGAATAGATAAGGCTACATTGTGAGATCAATTCTAACTTGATAATGTAACTGTTGCACTCTACAGGGTGTTACAACTTTTATGAAAAAATCACGTTATAATTGATACACCCTGTATTAATAAAAAAGAGGGTTTTATACAAACACAGTTAGCATACCGACGTTGTGTAAGAGACAACCTTTCATTTAAAAAAAAAATCGTCCAAATCAGACAAGTCGTTTTGACAAATATTTACTTTAAACTTTTTGTTATTTTTTGATGGTGCGTTAATTTATTGGGGAAGTGTATTAGGAGCACGAAAAATATTTATCCTTGTTTAGTTAATATCCATTATTGCAATTTAGATCTATAAAGACCTATCGAATTTAGGTTTTTAAATTCCACCGGAAGTGCGTTAAATATTTTAGGACCGAGGTATAAAACAGTATTAGTTTCGAAAGCAAATATAATTATTATCACAGTATAACACTGATTCGTGATTCGTATCCGTGATCCGAAAAAAAGGATTCGAATCACTTAATTCGAATCCTTTTTTTTTGAAAAAGGATTCGAACATTGGATCCGTGATTCGAATCACATCTCGTGATTCGGATTCGTGATTCGAATCCCTTTTTCGAGGATTCGTCCCAGCTCTGGGTGACGGCATCTGCACGTTTTTTAATTCGGTTTTTTTAAATTTTTAATTTCTAATACTTGTAGGATGTAGATTACGCTGTTAAAATATGACCGTCTAATTTCGGGACACCCTGTATAGTGGAAATTCGAAATAATAGTTATGACGTAGCGGTGTTTTTCTAATTGTAATCGGACCCTAGGTATATGGATACGGAAAGTGATGAATTGGAGAAAGGTAAATTGTATTTATTGTATTAAAGGAACAACAAAGTACAATTAAATAATTATATTAATATAACAATTTTTTAAAGTCGGTATTAAACAAATTTTTTTTCACATAGATTATTAAATTAAAAAAATGACTATTAAAACACGAAATGTTAATTTTTTCTCTTTTACAACACAAAATATACAATACTGTTGAATCAAAATTTTCTCTTGGCAGCAGATTGTTTTTGTGACGCGACAATTATGATGCTTTGCATCTCATGAATTAAAGTTAATTCTCTTTCAATCTTAAGGTGTTCATACCCCTTATAATTATCGGACAAGAATATCTCAAAATATTTAAATTTTGGCAAAATAAATTATGCAGTAATATCTATAATATGCATATATTGTAATGTTTTAATTCCTTCCAGTTTCCCAAAAAAACTAAAAGGGCTTTAATTTTGAAATATCATAATGAAAATAAATGCATTCCTCGACAGCACTATTCTTAATATAATCCCCAAATTTAAGCCCCTAATGTCTTGTTAATGATTTCTTAAAATTCGCCAAAATTAGTGGCTAAAACGCTTCGTTAAGTGCTATCTTCTGGTGTAAACTGGTGTAAATTATTGCAAGAAACGAATAATGACAGAGTGTACGATACGATAGTTACAAGCCCGTTACACTGTTTTCCACTCAATTTATTAAAAAATAATAATAATAAATTAGGGTGTTAATTTTTTTTCTCTGAAGCTATTGGTTTTGGGAAAAAAATTCAAGAATAAAAAAAATTAAATAAATCAAGGATTTCATAAAAGTTCATCTCGAAAAAAGTTTTGATATGAAATAAAGTAAGTGTTGCTAATTTCACCCCCCTATAATGTAACAGAAATATTGAAAAAATACCCGTGGTTAGTCCTTTGCGATTACAGAATTTCAAGTTTCTAGCTTTACTGAAATGTTAGAAAAAACATAAAAACTCAATTTTAGTCACTACTTTTTAAGGGTGATATCTCGAAAAGGGGTGGGCTGAGGAAATTTTGTTATAGGAAAGACCCATCTTAATTTCATACGAGCAATCAGTTCCTGAATTTTGTCGCATGTATTTAGAAACACCCTGTATATTACACATTTTTTTAAGCGTGCAAAGTTCTTGACAATCTCTTTTCCCTAATTGGCACATGTCGTATTTTTCTAGGATTTACTAACTCTGGCAGCAAACAAATAAAATAGAAATTTGTCAGCTGTGCATTTTTGCCTTCCAGAATTTTTCATTTCATAAATTAACTAAAAACTTTATTAAACAAAAACCTAACAACGCCTCAACAACAAACTAAGACGATCACAATAATTTCGCACCTCTTCAAAAACAACTACCTATTTTTCGACACAGGAATTAACAAATTTAACTAAACGGCAGCTACCCTTTTAACCACGGGCTTCAAAGACTAGCAGCGTTGCCATATTCACTGGTATCATTGTTTTAATAGAATTAGTATCGGAATGAAAACTACGTTAATCTTCGGTCCTGTTTAAAATTGGTAATCTTTTTGAAAAAAAGTTATTTAGAAAATAGTTAAGATATTTGTTATATAGAATGCCGGTAAAGAGCCAAAAAATTAAATTTATTAAAAAGTTGAAATTTTTGTTGTTTTTCTTTAAAAATATAAGTTTTTCGCGGTTTAGCGAAATTCTTGGTTCATTTTTAGAACGATTGGCCTAAACTTCCTCAAATGTAAAATTGATTTTTGGCGGAGGAGCGCCCGTCATGTTTGCTCTTAATAGAAAAAAGTAGAAATTTTAAATAGCAGGAATGGTTAGATAATGTCATTATTTAGATTAATGGGAAGCCAGTTTTTAAAATTGAGCCTAATTAAAATATATATTTATCTTGGCAAATCAGCTTAAATTGAAAAAAAAAAATTTCTTTTAAATCGCTTGAGAAATATAAATCAAGTATTTTTTAAGGGTATTACTTCCTCTTAACGTATAAAATAAGGTTATAAAGTCAGTGTTTAAAAAAATAGTATGAATAAAAAAAATTGTCTATTCAAATCAACTATTAAAAAATTGTAAGTTTTATAAATAAAAATGAATAGAAAATTTCCTATAAAATGTTCTTCCAAACTTTTATTTAAATTGCTTGAGAAATATAAATAAAATATTACGGCAGGGGAAAGGGCATATATTCCTTAAAAGCAAAACCGTCGAATAGCTCTCCTACAAAAAAAATTGATTTTAGCTCTTACGACATTGCTGCACCGGATGTGCGATATTTATATCTATAATAGTACCTTTGAATTTGCCTTCGTCAGCACTAATATCTCAAACTGTCCATCGCTAAAGTTTTTTCTCTTAGGCGTATCAATCATGGTCGCAAAAGAGAAAAGTCTTTTACTGGTGCTGACGAAGGTAAACATGTGTTATACTTGATCGATACTTTTTTTAATGGGGATACTCATTTAAGACTTGTAAATTGGTTCTCTCATCCTCTAAATATCTTAACAATTCCAATTTAATTTTTGCAGTTATATTGCTATTGGAGCTGGTACCCTGTTCGTTATGTATCCTAGTATTGTCATTGTCTACTTGGTGATCTTGGGAATCAGTAAAATCAAAAAAATCATCCAAATTCTGATCCCCGATTTCATCTGATTCGTTGTAAGCTTCAATTTTCATGTGTTTTTTCTTAACATTTATAATACATTTTTTAAAATCTTCCAAAGATTTTTTGGGATTTTTTATTACGTTATACCATTTTAATTTAAATTTAGAAAGAAGAACTGCTGCAATAATTGGTAGTTCCCATTCCAAATATAAAATGTTAGCAAAACGAGTATTTAAGCTTTTGATATACATTCATGCTAAATGCTCTCCTCCATATTTCAGTTTTGTTTGATAAATAGGTTTTTCATATTTATTAATAAACGAAATTAAGCTGGGTAACAAGTATCCAAAAGTTACAGTATCTTCACCTTATAACAAATCTAGCGTTAAAGCCAAAGGTTTCATAACTAAGCAGTATTCTTCTAGATATAATAGTTCAGTTTCCTTAAAACCGAAAGTTTTTCTTTTGCTTGCAAAATCTGTGAAACGGCATCATAAGTGGAGTTCCATCTGATTGCCCCTGGAGAGCTCAATGTATGTTCTAAAATTTTAATCAAGATTTCATTGCTTTTTGGTTTATTGGATTTTTTCCATAACTGAGCACATTTATTAAATGCATTCTTTTCTCTAGTTTGTAATGTTGGAATTGATCTAACAGTATTTTTGTAATCAGTGGTGGCTATTAAATTCAAAGTATGTGTGGCACATCGCAAGTGTTTCGGTAATGGAACCTCGACAAGTTCGTGACGCTAACACCGGACAAGAGTTTGCAGGATACTTACAAATTTGGTCACGGATACCGGATACGAAATTTAAAAGTATCCGGATACAGCTTTCGGATACACATAAAGTATCCGGATACAGAAGTATCCGGATACTACCCAATTCTGCTATGTTGTAAAGGTATTCCAAAGCTATCGTTTGTAAGATGTATCAAACAAATAAATGCTAAAACGTATTGAAAATAAATTACAAGATATATTACACAAAATTAATATTCAAATAAATAGTTTTTATTTAATTCATTTGTATTCACTTCATTTGTACGTTTTGTACAAATGAAGTGAATAATACCTACTAAAAATTTAAAAAGACCGGCATATATATTATAATGGTACATAAACCAAGCAAAACTAAATTCATGGCCTGAGTAACCTACGATAAAGCAGGATGCAAACAATTATTTTAATTAAACTTTCAAAATTTCAAGAAAAACATTTATAATAAATTTTAATATTGAAACGCCATAAGGCAACTTTACAGCCAAAAATAACATGAGAATAATAAAAAGCTGGAACAATAAAAGTTACAGCAAATAATTTTGTTATTAAATTATGAGCAAATTAAAAATCTCACATAACCTAAAAAACCCCATGTAAAATGTTATAAAAGGCTTTTAAGGTACAAAATTAGATTAAATGGACATTTCCAAATAAGATTATTAAATGCATAATGAAATTAATACGGAAAAATTATACTAAATGACAATAAAAGCTCTTTATAATTCACCAAATTAGGGTGAGAAAATGATTAATTTTAAAGTTAATATAAGACCGATCAACATAAAATTTGTATTAAAATGATCACAAAAAGAAGGTACATAATCCTATAAACTCAAATCAGTCCGAGAAAATATAAAATAATTTGATTGGCTAATAAATTTAAAATTAATCGAAAATTGCATCTAGTTAGCCATGAAATTGCGTTTCTATAAAACCAATTGTGTAATCGCTTGCCAAACAAACATGTAGTCTAAAAATTTAAAAACAAATGAAGAGAGACCCAAAAATTTAACTTGATGAAGGGTATTTGCCTGAAGTCCTGAGATAAAATGAGTAGGTGAAAAGGCAGATGCGAAGTTTGGAGTTTATCCTGAGCCCAACCCAGCCAATCTATGGATTCCAGTATCCAAAATCCAGATTCCACAAACTATATGTGTTCCACACCCCACATTCCAACCAAGACTGAATTGTTATTTTTTCCTCCACACTGATAACAGATACCAAATACTACATAAATAAATAAATATGATCATATTTTCCGCGAAACTTATTTTGAGCGATAAGATTTTTCACAACCAGTTGTAAATATTATTGTAGGTTAGGTTTTATGTTTATTTTTTTATTCACGTGTACGTTAGTTGAAATCTCAATCTAACTCACGACTCAATTTGTTTTCTGTTTGTTGAATGACATGCAGTAGATTACATTTTAAAATTTTTATTTGCTATGTTTATCTTCAAACCCGTTCTTATAGTTTTAACCCTTTTTGAATTCGTAATATAAATCTCTTGAAATGGATATAACGTATCAGTGGTTTTAGATAAGATTTGCTCATTATCTACTTTTTTGGTTAAGGCGACATAGAAAAAAAATGCCAAAAATATATTCTAATAGCAATTTGCGATATCTAAATAGGTGGCGGCGGTTTCCCGTCCCTCTCATCAATGACTGTGCCCCGATGTTTAGGCATCGCGGCCGCACTTCTCGCGTTAAGGGATGTTTTCGATGGAAAGAATGGGGTGCATACATTAAGGGTTTGCATACATATGTATATCTTCAAATTGATTTGTCACAGCAGAACAAAGTCGCGGTTCTAATGTTTTCCACTGATAACTATCAATTAGGGCAGCGGCACCAAAAAGTTCAGAACGATTCATGTATGAATCCAATTCTGAGTTCCAAAATATTAAAAATATTATTTATTTGAAACTTTGTGAGATATGTTTTTTAAATTTAACTCAAACTAACACATTGTTACCCTCAGTATTAATTTATTCATTTTCCTTTTTAAATATTGCTCACCTGGCTTTTATTCCATCTAGCTTTTAAAATTATTTATTGTGTACACCTTAAATATTAAACATATTATTTCCATAAGTGCAACCCCTGTTTTTATTGTTAAAATTTTCCTAGTTTATAGCATTATATATACCTACGTATAATATCCCGTCTCTCTGTTCCTCTAAATATCCCTGTTCCTTCCTTGGAGGAATGCACGTACGCGAAGCTTCCTCAAATCTGCGGATGTTGTAAAGTAAGAGAGCAATTAGAGCTCTAAAACGTTCAGAGATATGAGCAATTAGAGTAAGGAGGCGTTAGTGCGGCGTAACATGAGTCGGTCTTTGCCTTAGCTCGAAGACAAGATTGGAATACTCAAACAGACACGTCTTCGTTGTTTAGATAAGGCATTCAAAAGGTTATTGCGGATGATGAAAAGGTTCTCATAAAAGTACACTGTTTAAATACGAATGAAATAAAGTTATTTAAACAATATACAATAATACTGATATTATTTAAATATTATTTCAGACGTGTTTAAAATGTAAAAATTACTTGCGAACCAAACAATACAAAAAAACCTTGTTTTAATTCTATAGGTGTTTCCACAACCCTTTGACCTCCCTCCCTATTTCTTTAAAAACTAAATAGCGAGTGTACTTAGTTAAGTGGCGCAGTCAGTAGGATGATCAAACGGGTTTAGTGCACATAATTCCTGCTTCTTCCTACGATTTTTTGAACATTTTGAACTTTAAAACGTGTTTTATAAGTTTTCCAGTTGGGTGAATTGAGTAGCCTAACGTGAAAAACGCTATCCGAGTTAAGAAAGACATTCAAGTGAACATTGAAGAGTCTACCTGGTCCAGTCGTTGGTTAACGATGGAATTCGAATAGATGAAGTGGAAAATACTTTTACTGTGTGTTTTTATGTCGTTTAGAGAGCAACCTTTTATTATCAATTCTGAAAATTCAGACAATTCTGATTCAGATACAGATTCTGACTCAAATTTAAACAAAACAAATTTAGACATTTCAAATATTTTAACTTCAAATAATAAATTTAAAATGGCTCCAACAATTCCAGAATTAAAAGATAAATATTTAGATATGATCACAGATTTCTATGGTAATCCCGCCACTTCCTAGATTTATAGAAGTAAGCGAAACATTTTACAATACTGTAGATATAAACGATTTTTAAAATGCGAATTTAATTTCTAGTATTTTAGCGAAAGTAAAAGGCGAAGCTTCCAAAAATATATCGTCTTTTACAATAAGAAATTGGGAAAACTTAAAAGCTTCTTTATTGAATACATATGCAGATAAAAGAGATATTTATACCTTAAGCTTAGAAATTTTAGCATTACAATAGGGTAACGATTCTCCGTTCCAATTCTTCAATAAAATACAGCAACTTTTAAATCTTCAAATAACCGTATTAATGACTTGTTCTAACGACAAGTATTACAAATTAAAAATTTAAAAAACCGACTTCAAAAACGTGCAGATGCCATCACCACATTTTAACCAAATTTATATGGGACCACTCCTGAGGTACCCCCTTACTAACAAAAAAAGAATCGTATAAATCGGACAAGGTGGTAAAGCATTATCGCTAAACATACATATAAAATGAAGACTTTGAGGATTTTCTCATGGATCCAATTATTAGATTTTGACCAAATTTATATGGGACCACTCCTAAAGTAGCCCCTTTCTAACAAAAAAAGAATTATTGAAATCGGACACCGTGTTAAAAAATTATCGCTGAACATACATAAAAAATGAAGAGTTTGAGGATTTTCTCATGGACCCAATTATTAGATTTTGACTAAATTTATATGGGACCACCCCTAACAAAAAAAGAATCATTGAAATCGGACACCGTGTTAAAGAATAATCGCTGAACATACATAAAAAAAAATATCGCGACGAATTGATAACCTCCTCTTTTTTTGAAGTCGGTTAAAAATGAACAAAATGTTTTAGGCAATTATTTTAGAAATCAGGCTTTTAGAATATTGTTGCGCAGACTAAAGGAACTAGGTACATTAATGCGAACCAAAAATCCTTTAGATTTAAATTCTGCTTTGAATACACTAACGAATGATTTTCAAAATAAAATGGGACCATATAATAATAAAAATTATAGTCCAAGATATAAAAATATTAATCATAATTACCAAAATAATTATTTACTTAGAAATTAACAAAATTTTCAAAATAATCAATCAATAAACTGGCAACCAGAAATGCCAAGTTTATCTCAAAATTATCACCAATTAAATTGACATGTAGGTTTAGTCCCTCGAAATCAACCTAGTACAAGTAAAAGTCCAAATACGAATGTTTTCAGACCTAATCCGGATCAAAAATTACAAAAACACCCATGAGTACAAATACTTCAAATTCCTTTAGACCTACAAGAACATTCCAAAATCGCAACTATTCTCAAAACCAAAATTCTTTTGC